GACAAATAAAAAAGTGAGGAATAAAAATCGTTTTAAGGGAAACTACGACACTTTCTTCAGTTATGCTCACTTTTAGAAAGGTCGGCCCATTTATACTTGAATATCTGCCCTTCTTCTATTGATGCGACAGATATGGCTGTTTTGAATGCCCATAACGACTCCCTTCTTCCTCTGTGGCGTTCAAATATCAACCTCAACTTTTAGCCTTCGAAGCAATCTTGATTACGTTTTATAATTGTTTTATCGACAATTCAATCTTTAGTATAAACTTACTTCGCCGACAAGACCCATTTTTTTCTAATCGGGGATCCGCCTTTCTATTTTATCTTACATTATTCGGAGCGAGAGCATAGCCTTAATAAAACAGCAAGCAGATAATAAAATCCGCTAACACCAATTAAGCAAGAGGAAAAAGTTTTTTGTCAGAACCACAATATTACTCTTCCTAAAGCAAAAATGAGTATTGTAACTTTAAAAAAAATATAATTTAGTGCATAATCACAAATGTAGTCGTTCTTTAATTATATCAACAAAAGAGATACTTATCATGTTGATGCCTAAGAATAATGGAGTATAAACTCTTAATAAAAATAAAACAATTCTAATTTGTCATACAATTAGGTTTTAGAATTAAATTGTTTTTTTCTTTGTTACGCACTTACAAGATAGCTCGACATTTCAGCGGTGCTTCCGAGCTTATCCACATTTTTCGCAAATAATCTCTTGCTATGGCTTCTCTCTCTTCCGACGAAAGATATATTGATGGTTCAATGCTAGAAGGAGTAATCTTTTAAGGCTTTATTCTAACATCAGCTCAGGGTGGACAAATCCTTAGAATCTGTGCATCGATCTCTGCTATTACTCACAAGCCAATACGGGTAGGCAAAATTCGAGCAGGGAGGTCAAATCCGGGCCTGAGGTATATCTGAATGGCCTTATTTATTTTGCTTAAGCAACCAACACCTGACTGGAATTCAGCTTGTTGCGGATATGTGCAATGCAAGTCTCCAAAATTGTCACTTCGGGTCCACCGAACTTACATTCATCCCTGGTGTAATCTCGGGCGGTTATTTTGTCGCTAATGCAAAAACAGCGGGGTAATTGTAATCCAGTTTTATACTTTTTTAGCTCAATTAGTTTGCTTGCACAAATTGCTCTTCCAGTTGCGCTATTTGCCCCCTGTGAAACTCGATTTGTCCTTGAAGGTGGCACAGACGCTTTGTTTGCTCCTCCTATAGATTATTTAACTCTGGTTATAATGTTTATTTTTAGTGAATTATTCTAGGTAGCCAAATTCTATCTAGAGAAGATGGGTGCAAATTTTACGGTTAAGACCATTCGTAGAGGATTCTATCCTAGGGGTGGTGGAATCGTTCAACTTGACATACAGTCACTTGAAAAACCTCTGAAAGCAATCACTGCAACTGATTTTGGAAAAGTTTCTCGAGTTACTGGCTATGCATTCACTGCTGGCAATACGCCTGAAAAGGTGCCACTTGATCAGCCTTTATGCCAAATGTGCTCGATACCACTAAACTCAACTATGTTAACATTACTATTTTACAGATTTCTCACCAAATACAAAAAGAAGCGACTCGGTTATTCAAGTCATCTTTCAACTGTCCTATTGATATTGGTGCATACAGAGAGTCCAATGAAACAAGTCATGGGAATATTGCTACTTTCCAGTAATTTATTTTTATTTCGTGGATTTAATTTATTTTGCCGTTATCCAAAATTTACCAAGGATTACTGCTGTTATATATATATTCATAGTAAACGCTCATCTGCTATAGCTGGATAAATCTGTTGCTCTATTATTAACACTTTGTCACGCCTACGAGCAATTCCTACTTCTTAGCGCTTGCTTTATAGTACAACTAACACGGGACTATTTAATAATGTTATTTCTATTTATCGCAGTAGACTTATTAGTATGAACAGATAATGTTTGTTTAGTTTTCTTGCTACAGTGGTGAAAAATGGGCGACATTCAAATTGAAGTGGCTTCAATCATGGTTTTACCATTCTTTATTAGGAATCGCTAAATTCATTTTGTATCTACCTGATTTATCAAGATTCCGCTTTGCATATAAAAGTATA